TGGTTTACAAAAGTTCGAATGGTAACTTGTAGCGCTGTTGACGCAACTGAACTATTTCCCGCTGTTTGAAATCTAGAGCCCGACACTACTAGAGAAATACTTACTTACAACATTACTCGAAACAACATTGTCGGTAATCTGCATTATTTGTATAATAATGCTTGCAAAATGGACAATCTTTCTTAAAACATAAAATTTTTCAACATATAAAATTGAAGTCACAATTAACAAATCAAGTTCTGATAGTGGATCTATAAAAAAAGCAAAAGACGTCAACGCGCTTTCATTGTACATTATTATACCTACCAATACAAATGTATTACAAATGCGTTAACGTTTCACCTTTCGTGAATACATTTTCTAACGTTTTATACAAAAATGAAAGTGGAAAACAAAATAATACAACTACTCGTTTTATAATGGCTTGACATTTTGTAAAAGTGGTGTTCATTTTTCTTGTGAAAATAAAGGAGATACGTCTGCAAAATACTGATACCTAAGGTTAAACTCCCGAACCATTTTTTTCCTTGTTATATGATTAGGAATCGGAAATAAGACAAGGTATCATTTTATTTGTTGGTCATTCGGATCAGTACAGTTGGCGTAAAAGTCCGTCAAGAATCGAACGTCGTAACACAATTGTTAGGCAATGGGGAGTAATTGTAACCTTAAGCAGCCACGCATCCAGCATCTGTATCTTGTGTCAGCTTATCACATAAGCTTTCTTTCACTACTATGACTTTACCATACATCCATTTAAGTTCATCAACAGCCTTTAATAGTCCACTGCTGGACTGTAGCATGTCTGCCAGACATTTCCAAGGAGAGCCTTAGAAAGGAGGTTTTTGGCATTGTATACCAGGCTGGGCAGAAGGGTTAGCATAGGGTTTGTTTCAAGCTTTCCTTCTCTAATTGAATTCTCAATGTAAGTCACATTATGTATATCTAAAAAGAATTAAATTACTTCTTTTGATGAGTGTATAATTTAAGCACAAACCATTCAGGTGAATACCAAAACCGTGTCATGAATCGGCTACCTATGCTGGACCGTGTACCTAGGTATTATAATGGTGCATACGATACATCATGTTTTAAGAATTAAAGTAGTAGTAATTGGTCCACAAATTGTAAATTCAACTAGGTAAAACGTGTATTTCCAAACCCAAATGCACAAGGGCCAGTTTATTTTAAGTGAAATCTATTAAGGATAAAGTATTTCACAATTCGAGCTTGTATATACGAATACTCCGAGAAGTCAAAACTCTCTGTGCTCCAAGTAATGTTGTGTTAGATTATTTACGTACTTCTCTTAACAAAGAATCATTGAAATCCGTACCGAATGTTAAGTAGAATACTTGATTAATTTCTTAAATTTTTCTGATTTTTTTTACTTACTTGCTAATTAGTGACAAGTGTCGCAATGGCGTTACATATTACATACCTACTTAACTTGAGGTATTGATATGCTTCCGCGTGATGAGGTTACTTTAAAGAATAATTACTTAAGCTATTGTTATTTTTCGCTCACATTCTTACAGTATATAAGACATCTTACATATTTTTGTAGTCTACGTAACTATGTAGTCTTCCGTAAGTGGGTGCATGACTACAACAAGTGATAAAAGATATAAAATGGCGCGATCAGTTTTCATTTATTTAATTTGTATTCTAATGATACTATGGTCATATATCTTCGGATTCTGTATCGAATGGACTTTGAAGCGCCGTATAAATCTGCTCTTAAAGTTTACATAATCATTGAAAGTTAATTAAATTTCTTAAAAAAATCGACAAATATATGGTTTCTTACATACTATTCATACAGTTGCAGCTTGTGTTAATGTGTATTATTATATATTATTATACTCTATTTTGCATAACGAATGAATATGTTTCTATTTGTCAAAATAGCCTTAGAATTTCGACGTAGGTATGTGAAAACAAACCTTTGAAACAGTGTTGTATTTTTTTTTGTTTTCTTTTAATATTTCGGTAGGACAAACGAAGCCTCCTTGTTAGAGGCTTCCTGATAGCGCAGGCACGACTTCTACAGGCCCGCCCGGCAAGGTGCTTCCGGTGCCTGTCGGTGGTGATAGGTGACCTCTGCTTCCGCTGTGGCCAGCCCGGTCACAAGGCGGGTGTCTGCAAAGCTCCGCTGCGTTGCTTTAGGTGCGCAGCAGTGCAACTCTTATAACGGATCTACATCTCCGCATCCTCCAGTGCCGGTGCTCAGGATCTTCTGCTCCAGAGCATGGCACATCAACATCGCCGATCGGTTTCTCGGGACTGCCTGGGAGACCGACTTAGACGGCTCGTCGGCACCCCGCCTCTTGCCGTTTTTGCAAGAGGACGGGGTTGCGTAGCGGCGGTGGTTGGTTATACAGCGGTCGCGGTTATTTCACGCCAAACCGAGACATAACTGAGTACGAGCAATGGCTCGCTCAGCTGGCCGTCGTCATCAGAGTTCCCGGCGCACGAATCCGAGGGGCAGGGCATTGGAGAACTGGGCTGAAAGATTTGGCCCAGTACTCCTAAACCGGGGGGCCGTGGCCACGTTCGTGACAGCGAGAGGTAGATCGATCGTGGACATCTTGCTAGCGCGTCGTGTCCAGGGCTGGCGAGTCGTTGTCGGGGAGGAGACAGGTTCGGATAACCGATATATTCGGTTTAACGTCTCCGCTCCTACGAATGACGCCCAACGTGGCTTAGGTGGGGCCGGTCAGACCGGCCCCACCTAAGCCACGTTGGGCGCTCGAGCGCTTAGATCTGATGGCGATGGCGGCTTTCGCCATCGTGCAAGCCTGGGCCCCTGCGCCGAACAGACCTGTTGACGTCGATGCTGAGGCACAGTGGTTCCGGGAGGCCATGACCCGCGTCTGCGATGCGGCGATGTCTGCCCAATATTGCGAGGCGCCAGGTCTACTGGTGGTCGCCGGAAATTGCACCCCTGCGCCAAGCCTGGTTCCGCAGAAGCCGTCGCCGCTCCGAAGACGCGTCGACGCCGCAGAACAGAGCGACCTCCGTCCTCCATAAGCGCAGGCCTGGGGATGACAGGCGAAGCCATCTGTCACCCTAGCAGAAGCAGGCCGGGGTGGCGGCAAGATACGCTGCAGAGCGCGCGCCCCCTCTCGGGAACACAAAAGGAACATGGAGTTTCCACACAGGAGGGGGTCGTCTACCCGCCGTAGATAAGCCGAGGTACGTCGGGGCACCAGGGATTTCCTTTATAGGGTACACTTGGTTCCCTGGCTACTGGTACCCGAGACGGTAGTCGGTTTGAGTCCGACATAGCCACCGTTGGGTGGTATCTGAAGGAATTTCAGCACAGAAAAAAAAGGATCTACTCACCGTGACGGATAGGTTAATTTTACATTACAGTAGGTAAAGGAAAAACACCAGCTTGTAGATTATAAAAAAATATTCTGTAAATTAAATCTATAATAGATTTGTTTTTGTGTTTTGTATGGAACCGCGCACACTGTAACACTGAAAAACTTATTTCTGTAATGAGCCGAATTGCCGAAAAATATTACGTATTTGCTTAATGTTAGAGCATTAAATTAGTGTTTTATAATTGTTAGTAGAAATCTATATACTGTTAGTTAGACCTATCTTAGATCCTTCCTTGTTTCTTTCAGTGAATTAACTCTTTCGACAGTTTTTATTTGCACTCATTTGAAGACTGTGGTACGTGGCTAGAGCGTTAGCTAATGAACTTTGGATTGTTTAACTTAGTTAAATCCTCGAACTAAATGGAATGCTTGTGTTAGAAGTCTTCGAGGTGGAGGCTTCCAAGAATATCAATTATGTTCGACCCATGTTTCTAATACTACGGATGCTTCTAACGTGAATACAAATTAAACTCGTTTGTTACGGTTCGCTAGGAGTCGTACCAAATAAGTTATCTTGTACCTTTTTCCCTAGATTGTAAAAACAAAGCTCAGTTTACGTATTTTTAGCAAGTGGCGAAGATTAAACTACCTATTAAATGTATAGCACGTGTATATTTATTATGGATACCGCGTGTTCTGAACATACCAGATATTGAGTCATAATAAATATGTTTGTGTTTTGTAAATATTTTATTCAGAATTTTATACAGAGTATTACTGATAGGTAATACTCTGTATAAAATTCTGTCATACTCGTATAACAGGGTGGTGCCTTTCTTGGGAAGACTGTGGTATGTGGATGTAGCGTGTCTTTCTTTCAGAGACACTAAGTGCCTACTGGTTCGTTTGTAAAAATGCTCTTACATAATTATATAGTCAGTCAAATCAAGTGTATATACTATGTTACACTATGTTTTTGATACTATGTTTATTGAGTATGTTCTTTAGGAATAAAATTAAAAATTATAATTTTACAGCGCTAAACAATTTAAACTTCGCAAGTGATACAAAACCCGAGCGCAGAAAGCGTTTTTTTTTGTATTTTGGACATTTGGATTTTAAATGGAATATTAAGAGTTTTTGATAAGTTCCGTATTTTATTAAACAAATTAGTACACAGTTAATTTGGTTTCAATTAGGCCGTGGATACCTCTACCCTCTAAGCTTTTATTTTCTATCAATAGGTCAACTATATCTACTCTGTCGTACTAATACAGAGCAAATTTAGATTACCTATTGATAAGGATACATTTAGTTTCTAATAACTTTATGTAATGTGACTTTAAATTTCTTTGTTGAGCTAAATTTGAAAATATAATAATATAAAGCTACAGGAGTCAAAATATTATGTTTAACAAAATTCTGTTAGTGGTTGAGGTAGTGATTTATTAATAACCTACCCTCCGAATTGAGAGATATTCTAATGGCAATGAACTTTAAATCTAAAGTACTACCATTTTTTTAAATCATAATTAATAAGTTCCTTCTGTTTCGCTTTTCATTTATTTATGGAGTATTGTTTTATACTGCATTCAGTTTTTTCATGTTGTAATTTTAGAGTTAGTTTGAAATTTGAATTTATAAAAAAAAAAAAAAATATTCTTCTAGTTGGAGTACGGCTGGTCGCGTAGCGGACAGCGCTGTGTGAGGCACCGTGCACCGGAGTCGACGCTCTCAGTAAGCAGTGACATCAGGTTCACGCGGCGCAAACTCAGTCGGCCATGCCGAGGTTGCTGCGCTGCTCTCGCTTCGCTCCTCGTTCTACTACTCCTTGCAGCAGTCGCCGTATATTTAGGGCGTAAGTACGACTTCGCCTAAGATAATACTGACAAGTCTACATTAGGTTTGTAGCACAGTTTATGTTATTTCAGTGCACTTATTTGACTAGACCTTGATAAAGCGCTTTGCAAACTGCGAACGCGTCGAGTGGGTTGATTGACATTATAAACTTTACCAAAATATGTAAATTAGTATTAGGCCAAAACCTCCCTTCTAAGGAGACGTCTATGTCCAGCAGTGGACTATTAAAGGCTGTTGATGATGATGAAATATAGTATGTAAATCTACTTGGTGGTGTAGGCCTTGGCGAAATTTACTTTCAGGAGGGGAGATCTACGTTTTGTAGAAAAATAGCTAAGTAGATAGTTAAAAGCGATTTAATTGAATTTTTCGGTGCTAATCCACTCCAATGGGGGGTCCCATTGGAGTCTGAATCTTTCTCAATAAAAGAGCGATTTTACTAATGTGACTCAATAAACTGTTTACCCTCTTTATATGACTTCACACACAAAGTCTTACTTTACTACATGAGGTAATAACATAAACTTACATCAAAGCATCGAAGTTTGTGTACCTTTTTTTTAACGCGGGGAATGCTTTTCGCACCATACCCTCCGTTGGGGAAACGAAGGACGTGTGTGGGACTCCCGGAGAACCGGTCTACCCACTAAACCCCGCGGCGGCCTACCTCGGCAGTCGAGCGGAGCTCCAGGAACGCATCGGCGGCTTCTAGAGGCCTCTCTGCCGAACCCCTCGATTGAGGCACATCCCAGGGTGACCATGATCACCAGTGCTGGGCGGAATATCTGTGCTGGGTGGCATTGTGCCGTGACCTCCCGTCCGATTAAGTTTGTGTACCTAATCCAAAATACATACATTACTCTACTAAATCTTTTTTAATGTAGTTCTAAAGCTAAATTATGGAGCGATTGCCTCTGGCAATTTTTCACTGTTTACAACGTAGTGTTGTGATTCACTTGTAACTGCTAGTTAGCACTGACTAGCACAATGACTACCTACTGCGTCAAATATGTAGTTTTTGTTATCATTACATATTCTATTATTTGAACTTAACCTAAATAGTTACATACATGAAAATATTAGACATACCTTGTTAAAAATAAAGTAAACACCTTGACTTTTAATCAAAAGATTTTCTATGACGACTTCAGACGTTCTAAAAATGTTAGTCGTATTTTTGAAACATGTAAACTATGTAAAGTACATAAATTATTGATCAATATTGCTAAAAAAACTAAAAATGCATCTTATAACAGAAAGTCAACGTATTAGTTGAATTTTAACAGGTTCTTGGGCGGTTCATTTTTCTACTTCTAAAGAGATTTATTTTCACAAAACTGAAGAGAAGCCTTTTAAATAAAAGAATTCAAGTTAAAATCTTTGATTTCTTTGACTTACGCTTTTATTTTTAAAATAATAGTGGACGTTTATCAACGAATGCCTTTTGCATGTTGTACAGTAAGTACATTGTAAGTGAAGTGCACTCTAATAAAATATGTAGGTATGTTTGGGTACGTTGCAGTTGCATTCTTGTGATAAACCTATTAAGTAGTTTTGTATTGAGAGTGATCGACTTATGTACAATAAGTACATACATCCCTTAAACAATGATGTTGTTGATATGTGATAGTATTTTATACGTTAACCGTGGACACTACGTAGGTATATGTACTCGTGGTTTCATTAAATATCAAACACTGAATTCAAATAGTTAAGTATTAACCATACAAGTCTTAACATAAGGAAGGTTTGCTTGATTGTTTCTCGATGCAATCGTCAGTCACATATTACGTCTGACGACGAATGTAAAATTTGTAATGGACAGTTTTTCATGTACTTTCTTTAAAGACGTTACATAACTGGTTTCGTAGTTTTATTTACTAAGTAAGCTAAAAATATTCTCTCTGTTTTCATTTACATTAGAAATTCATACACAAAGTTATAAAAAACGTGAGTGAATAATTACTTATGCAACAAACTTACACACACTGCTTTACAAAGTGTATGTGTTATTAATTGCTAAGTACTTTATTTTGTAATTTATAAATTTTCATTAACTAATAACCTATGACATAAAAGACTAAGTGAATGGCGGCCTGGCGCGGCACTAGCTAAGCAATTTTGTTAAATTGTTAGACATTTCAAGAGTAATTTTGAGTCTACATGTTATACCGTAAATAGTATATTACTCAATGCCTGACCTAAAGGACCGTTGCAAAACAGCTTGGTGGAAATATCTTAGCTACTAACCCAGTTTTGTGTTAGATACATATAGTACTGAACACCATATTATTTTCTTTATCAATTACTTTACTTTCTAACTCATCATCTGTCTGCTCTTCTACCAATTTCATTAGGAGTCAGTGCAACGTTAACATTGTAAAAGGATTTTGGCTGGTATCTTTTATTCCATTCTTGAGAATGTAATCGTTTTCAAATGAGACAAAGGAAGAATAGAAGAAGAATTAAGACTCGCTGAGTACTAAATTGTGACTTGCTGAACCGATTATTCGCCAAACAGCAAGTAGTGTGTGCTGGTTATTCGCCGTGCAACGTTTATAGTGGTCGTCTCGCTCGGCTAATTGTCGGTGTGCTTGTCCGCTTCGAAAATAACTAGGTATTCGGACAGGGTCCACACATGTGTATATGGTCATTACTTGGCGAATACGACACCGAGTACTCATCATCGGCATTGGCATTCGTAGTGTTCCCGCACATCGGGTTGCGACTTAAGAGATAACGCAAGTCTTGGAAAAGACATCAATAGTTCGATTCGTAGAAGCATCGGTTGCATACCCATATGTACGTCCTGTTTTTCAATTCAGCCTGATTATCATACAAAACTTTTTAGGAAACTAATATTTAATGTTATCCAATATAATAGCCCAATCAAAATACTTTTTCATGCTCATCATCGGCATCATCATCTTCAAATTCAGAGCAGCATAGAGAGGAAATCAACTATGTGTACGTTTTTTGATGGTGAAATATATACCTAACTGAAACTAATGAAAAATATAAGTTAACAACTTGGACCCATTGTGCAGACAAAATCTATAATTAACTTTGCAATTTAACTATAATAACTGCCTCTTCTTTATATAAATGCCATTACGAGAATAGAAGTATGATATCAAAAAGACTTATGGAATATATTTTTCTATATTCCATAAGTCTTTTTGATATCATACTACATTTTTGTATATTAATAACATGACGGCAGTCTATTTAAATAATATACCCAAAAACATTGAATGATTGTATCTCTAGGGCTTAAATTTAAACACTTCTGAAATTTTCATAGAAACATTTAATATTGTTATTACTACATCGATATAAAATTTTACTGATCAAAACTTAACTGATACCATAATGCAATGTAAATGTTTCAAAATTCAATTTCGTTACTCGATATTGAGTATATAACAATGTAATAAGCCTATTATTTCTTTTGTTGGTAAACAGTGGGTATCAGTGTTCTAGTTGAGGCATAAACTGAGCGACATTTACCAGTCACCGAGCTAAGGCCAGTCAGTTTGTGGCCTTGTTGTACCTCGCATCGAGGAGACAAGTGTACTCTATTCAAGTAACGCTATCATTTACGATATTTAATCTACAAGATGACGGTTTTTGATCCATTTATAAATTCCTAGTCACAGCTTATGTAACACGAGATATCGAATGTTATTTTGTTCTTTCTTTTTAGTGATACACATGTAATCGTATTTATTGCCCATAGTCACGCTGACAAGTTGACGACCTCAATTGTAACAGATTAATCGATATAGCAAAAAGATTGTACTTCCGCGTGTTCCGTAAATTTTGTTACTCAAACTATTCACGCTACATCGGGTTTAGTGATATAGAAATTATATAACCATGTTATGAATCATATTATGTTATAAACGGTTGTGTTAACAAACACTGAATACGAAAAACCGATCAAGGACCAGTCGGATTCACGCACAAAGAGTTCCGTACTATCTCACAAGATTTAACACGCTGTACTACTTTTTAATGCGGTCGTAAAGAACCCAAGAAAGGCTACAACAATATGTAAATATTTGATACACCCTCTGTGGGCTTCGTAAGTATTTCACTTAGAAATTAATAAACGCTTTTCCTTTCATTATCATCATTAACAGTTAATAATAGTCCACTGCTGGAAATATACCTCTCCATAGAAATGAGGTTTTGGCATACTTTACCAAGTTTGTGTCAAGTTTTCCTTTACTTTGTGTGGTGACGGAGTGTCACCGCCTCTATTCATTACCGTGGATATCGTAAGGGAGCAAACTATGCAGAATAACAGCTGGCATTTTCAAAGACTAATGGGTACTAAAGTTCATTAACAACAAATAATGAAAATAAAATTAACGAGAGAAAAACAAACGGAGCTCACATGCAATAAACTTTTGTTTGGTTTCGATCCTGATAATGACTAATCTACCTAATCTTCTGAACCGTAATTAACTTTGGTAAAAATAAAAGTTTCAAATGTAGATTTTCTAGTCTTCCAAAACTGGAAAAACTACATCAATCCTTCGTAATAAGTTCAAGATTTACTAAAGGTCATAAGGGTTCTCTCCAGTTCTTTGAGAATGTACTTTCGCAACTTTATGGTTATTTGTTTGCCCTCTCTTTTAAAGTTTTACTCACCCTAGACTTATTGTGAACTAATACTGCCAAAGACATTAGCGGGTCTCTCGTATGGGGTCAATTCTGGATATCAGATCACGGTGGACTTTACAACGAAATATCGTCCATAAGGGAATTTCATCGTCGGGAAGCAATCTTGGGACAAAAAATGTTTTAATTAACTTTAGACCAAACGTGCCATAATCTTATATATAAAATTCTCGTGTCACAATGTTCGTTCCCGTACTCCTCCGAAACGGCTTGACGGATTCTCATGAAATTTTGTGTGCACATCGGATAGGTCTGAGAATCGGCCAACATCTATTTTTCATACCCCTAAATGGTAAGGGTGACCCATCCCTAATTTTTTTTGTTTTGCAATACAACGTTTGCCGGGTCAGCTAGTTTAATATAAATGTATGCGGATTTTGTATCTGCCATTATACAAAAGCCAATACAGGTCGATTAATAAAACAAGACAAACAAAGCAATAAATAAAATTTTAGTATAAATACACTGTTAAAATAGATGTTTTATTATTTTGCCACAAAATGTGACTCATCGTGTTTGGAGAAACTAATGTTTGTTACTTGACGATTTCATTCAAAATGCATGAGTTCATGTCTTTAATATGCCCCAGCCTTATTTGTTGTGAAAAGTCTCTTTAAAAACAAAATTGATTAGAGCTTCATAAACATTAAAAATCACCACTATTTACACTTCAAATCCATCGATAGGTTACAGAACGACCTCTCCGAAATAAATTTCATTAATATTTCTACAGACTGTTCTAACTCAAAGTCCTTGATAAAAATTTGCATATTATGATGTCATTCTCCAACCCATAATATGTACTAATTCCACTAATGCAATATACGTCCAATCATTATTCCTTTTGGCTAACGGAAGGGCAAAACCAACTGGCTTTCTCATTAATACATATTTATGAATACGATTACTGCAGGTGGACGGTTTTAAGGCAATCGTCTTTTTAATGCATTAGGTTCAAAGCCTTAACTTTGTGTAATCACACATAGGGAATAGAATTACACTGAGGCTATTGCAATACTTTAAATTGTAATCTATAGGGCATCGGTGTCTAATTATAGCTTTCTAAATAAAAACATATCACAATATAAAAACATATTTCATTATATACATGAAATGTGTAATAAGTTATATATATGCTTTTCTTCAGACCAAAAATTTAAATCTTGTCTACAAGTCCAGTCAATGGGTCTATCAAAATGTAGTAAATAAAAGCATATTTTTACTATGGATGTCTGTCGCTTTTGTAAACCTTATGCCAATTTAATTTTTTATATGATTAGGTGTATTTGACACTTAGATACAATTAACGCTCCATTAAAATATTTCGGCTTAGACAAAAGCTTGACTCGTTCTATACCTTGAATCAATTCTTATGTTTATCGTATTTCTATAAATCTAGTTAAATTTTGGTTCGTTTAGTAGGTTTCTTGGTTAGACTAACACCGTACGTGTCATCCCATGATGTAATCAAAATTTGTTAGGGGCCTGACAGAAACGGTATTTTCCTAAATAACTTCCAATACACCAAAACTTTAATAAAATCATATTTAGTAAAATGTGTTCTGTCTAAATAAATACTAAATTCCTTTGGAACAAAAGCTACAAATATTTTAGAAGATTATGTAATTTATTTTCTAATCTAAAACTTTGTCATTTTTTTACAGACATGTACCTGTTTGGAGACCCACTTAACCGGCAGACATTCCTGGGTTCATTTGTTGTATCTTCGTGGGGATCTGATGAAAGTGAAGGTGAAAAGTTCAATGACCTTGAACTCAAGGGCAACCGGACAAGGGAAAACGAACTACAGCAGGCGCTATTCAATGTATACCTAAACTCAGAGCTGAAATCTTGTTTCGTATCCGCAGACATATTAGCCTTGGACAGGTAAGTCGAGTTTTATTTTTTACTAGGTACGTATACGACTCCATTCCCTGCATTTGTCATTCCAAACCATTGGATGAAGAAAAAAACTAACTATAAAATGTAGTTTGCTTCCTGCATCGTGACGTACGAGGAACATTCGCTTCGAGTGTTCGAATAAATGGTGTTTGATTTAATATTACTGTCTCATTTGGTAAATCTCAAGACTTTTGTTTCCATTATCTACTACAACTTTCGATTACTACTACTTCTTTCGATTTTCCCCTAAAACCAGAGGGGTGCTTTATTTCCATACAATCAGGGGATCTTTCGACCAAGAGCTGATCGTGGTTATGTGTCGCTTAATGATTGACGTTTTAAGTACACAACTTCTATTTACACTATCATATATTTTATCAGCGGGAGAACGTTCATTGCGCTATATACGCTCGGTAGGTACGAGTATATGTTGTCGCTAGATACCACTGAACTTTATTTTGCGTATGCAGTTAATTAAAAAGGGGAGAAATATTAAAAATACTTACCTACTTATGTTTTATAGGTAAACATCTATATTTAATCGTATAGCAAAAGTAAAGTGTATAACACATGTAATTTTATTTTTTAGAGTTCTACAGAACTCTAAAAAATAAAATTACATGTGTTAACACGAAACCTCAGTAGTTCGGCCATGTTTTTTTAACTTGAAGACTGTTAAATACTGCTAGCTATTATTTTTAAAATGAGCGATAGTACGTTTACGATAAATAATCTAAACCATTGGCCTGGAAGATCTGAAAAAACATCGTGATGGTAGCATACAACATGTATGTGACCACGCGTTTAGAAGGACAATGTTTTCACAAAAGTTAGCTCTATTAGTTATAAAGTAAAAGTCGTTCAAATTATAAAATAGTGTTACTACAATTGTGCCTATGTGGAGGAACGGGAATTAAGAGAATCCGACATCAGGTCATAAAATAGACTTATAATACAAATAGTTGTCGGTTTAACCTATAGCCATAAGTTCACCATCATAAGTAAGATGTTAATGAATGTTGACTGGTATGTCCGTCATAGAGAAAGTATCACTTTCTCGAAATCTGTGAGGTCTGTAAACGAGCGTGCGAATGCTACATTTAACCAACCCGGTAAAAACGCATTAATTGCAAGCCTTGTTAAATTACTATTCAATAAAGTTCAACATAATCGATATATACCTACGAATGCAGTTATTGATCCACACCAATGGAAAATGTATTGCTTCAGCGGATTTACTGGAACGAAACCACTTTAAAAAAAGAGTTCAACTCGTGACACATTTTATTTTTTTGTTTTTACTTCGGACTACTTTCTTAGTTACATTTGTGCTGTGTTTACGCTCTAATTAAGCTCATCCATCGGAAGTTAACAGTAATATTTCCTAGCCTACCTTAGAAGCTTTGAATCTAATGTAAAATCAGTATAGAATCAAATACGAAAAAAATGTACAAAATATACTTACACATAAAATATGATGTTTGTGGCTAGTCAAAGTTTGTGATCATGTGACCTCCTTCTTGTGGTGCTAAATGGGCACGACACCGGTCGTAACATAGTGCTGATTTGACTGTTCTTTATTTAATAATGCTTCTCTTTGAGTTCGTTGCGGATCTAATCTTGACAGAACTGATCTGTTCTATTGAAATACTGTCAAAAAATTAAAATGAACTTTAATCCACCTATATCACCGCTTGGGTTTAAATATATTTTGTTTTCCTACATTATTTTTCCTACTATTACAACCACTTACATTTGTAGTGTACTCTTGGTGCAATAGTATATGTACGCGGAACTCGCAATGAAATCTTTTGTTAAGTAAAACAGAGGTGAAAATATTGTTCATTTAATCAATCCTGTAGTCAATAAGGTAGGTACGCACTCCTGTTTGTTGCATCTTCGCCTCAGTAGAAAACCGTCTTAATACGACAGTCCTTGAAAGCAACTTTTGGCTACCATTGCTACCATAACGGCATGCTCTTTACCTAATTGCAATTTTTGTGATATGTAAAAACTGTTTGTGCTTTTTATATTTTTATTAAAACTCCTTTTTGCCTTGCCCGATAGGTCAGTATATTTCATAGAATTTAAAAAGGGTTAATTGTTTAGGTTGTATTAAAGTTGTCAATCTATAATCATACTTAATATTATAGTCAAATGGTCTGCATCATTACAATGTTGTACAAATGACGCGAGAAAGTGTAATACGTGCTTTGTTTGGGAGCTTTGTAATACTTTCTATGCCGCGCACGATATTGTAATGTAGGTAATCCACATTGGAGGTTGTGCTCCCAATATGTTTTATATTCGGCCCTTTCTTTTCGCGTGTTGAATTCAAAGTACTTGAAAAGGAAAATTGTATGTTACTATGGTTGATATCATTCTTTTTCTCTCTTAAGTATCCTGGTCACATACGCGATATGTAAGGCTAAGGACAATGTCTACATAAGCGGATGTCTGAGAAATGTAACTGATGCAGCTTGGTGAATATTTTGTATTGGACGAGCTGACCCGTGCAACTTTGTCTGTGTCCCTCTTCGATCAACCATACAACTAGATTAAAGGTGACGACTCGAAAAATGGTCCGAGAAATACGAGCACAAAATATTTTGTGGTCTTATTTCCGACAGTATCGTAAACGCCACCCAATGTGAAGATCGTTAAAATGCTCCCGTGTACGTTTAAAAACTGTGAAAACGATGTGATCGAAGGTATCTCTCAAACAAAATTTATTTTTATCGTTTCTGCAACATTTTGCAATGATACTCGGCTATAGTTCTCTTTGATAAATAGGATATCCAAAAGTAGAAGAATTTGAAATTCTAATGAGGAGTTTCGGAGATGTTTATACTCAGAGCACTTTTATCCAAAAGCAAGGTACACACAGTCCAGAGGACCACCCACAAACTTTGTATGTGTAGGATAACGGCAATAAAATCAAAGGTAGTCGTTTATTCATTCTGATATAAGATAAGAGGATGAGTACCTATGTTATTGTATACCTATGTTTATGATATATATAAGTACCTCTTGTATATTTCTACGAAGATATATTAATAATATTATAATATTTTCGGACACCTGACACATAACGCCATCAAGTTTCAAACTAAGCAGAGCTTTTTTTTTGTAAATATATAATATACATAGGTATTATACATAGAAAACACCCAAATATTTGCAGATCATAGAAACATTTGGTCCGACCCGGGAATCGAACCCGAGACCGTAAAGAAATCTAATTAAATTTATTGCCAAAATGAGTTTATTAACATTAGCGCGTGTGTGAAAATGAAGACGTCCCTCGTATCTGTCCCGGATCACTAACACTTTTTCATTTGCATAGTTGTCTTTGGAACGAAGTTTCTTATCGCGCGTTACTCGCTCATGGGAGCGAGACCGAAAAATGTTTCTCTGCAAACGTCTACCGAAAAGCGAAAAGAACTTAGACCCCTCACGCCGTTTATTTGTGTATAAACAGGTATATAAAGCACTACAACCTATTTAAAATAGACCAACATCAGATAGTCAAAACAATACCTACAACTAATATTATTGTTTCGAGAAAAGGCCATCTTGATTCATGTTTGGTGCCAATGTCGCCCAATGTTAATTTAGTTTCACACACGGTCGAGCTTTTGATACTTCTTACTTGCAAATATAATATTTTTGTAACACGTGAATGAGTTAATTTTATGTTAAAATATGGCAACTACATACTATCTTCTTATATGTATTATATTAGAGGTGACCTAGTTTCGTCTTTTGGGATAATTTTATTATATGAATACTTTTATAGTTAATACTTAAATAATATAATAGTTAGTACTTTTATAGTTAACTAGTGGTGAACAGTTGGTGAAAAAATAAATTGTAAACGGTAGTGATATTTCAGAAAATTATTGCAGGGAATGCAAGTATCCGATAAAGCATTTCGAATACCTGTTTGTATATCTTTTAGAAAGTGGTGATCAATACTTACTTCACAATCCAATTAAAGTACCCTTGTTGAACAAAAATAACAGCTGCCGCCGTCTAAAACATGCTAAAGAAAATACGGTGTTTTAACTGTGCTTTATACATATCGTATGTGTTTTATATTACCTAAGTACTATTCAATACTTTTTACAAAAACTAACTCATAACTTTATAGACACTAACTTCGGCAGATTCCTGAAGACTAGTTTGATTGGGAGATATAGGTAATCAATATTCTCAAAAAAGTAAAATTTACATTGACAAATATAACTTCAAATAAATTGCCATAACGAGAATGATGTCATTGGATGGGGAATGAAATAGTGGTGTATTATAGTGTATGTGTATTCAATTTAAAAATTATTTGAGTTCGTATCTATTGTCACATCTCATCAAGAATCAACAGCGCTTAAATAGACCACTGCTGGACATAGGCCTCTCCTTAGAAAGGTTTTGGCCTATTAATGTAGACAATCAATATTAACTAAAAAACCCGTTGCAGTATGTAACGTTTCTTTTATATTTTTATAATATTTTCATAAATATTATTTTAGGATTTTCCCAATTCTACAAAGGTATAGTCTGTCTTGGCCTTAGGTTACCCTTTTTTTTTTCCGTGCGGAAATCCCCTCGGATACCACCTGTCGGTGGCATGTCGGACTCGAACCGACTAAAACCGCACGCCGTCTCGGGTACTAATAGCCGAGGTATACCCTAGAAAGGAAGTCCCTGGTGCCCCGACATACCTCGGGTCATCTACAGACGAGTAGACGACCCCCCCCCCCCCGTGTGGGAACCCCATGTTCCCTGTGCTCCCTGGAAGCGAACGCGCTTCGCAACGCGCTCGCCGCCACCCCCGCCTGTTTCTGCTAGGGTGACAGATGGCCTCACCTGTCACCCCCAGGCCTGCGCTTATGGAGGACGGAGGTCGTTCTGCGGCCTCCGGCGCCTGAGTCGCCTGCGGTACCTGGCCCGTTCCCGGGCCTGGCGGGCCGGGAGAGTCCTAAACCTCTCCCGGTCCCGCTCCGCCGTCTCCTTCGCGAGCATAACTTGCTCGCAGAAGGAGACGGCAGAGTTCCACGCACTCTCGCTCCGCACGATAGCCGCAATCAGGCTATCGAGCGAGAGAACTCCCACTCCGATGGCCGCCACGAGGTCTCGCCTCTGCTCAACCACGCCGGGCACTCTGCCAGCGTGTGGAGAGCCGTGTCCACGGTCTGACCATCGCAGTGGTGGCACTCAGGCGTTGGCTCCTTGCGGATCAGACACAGGTGATCCCCGAAAATTCCTTTCCCAGTGATCACCTGCGTCAGTCGGTATGAGAGGGTCCCGTGACGCCTCTCGAGCCAATCCTCCATAACGGGTCTTACCGCCGCGATGACGGCGTGCCCAGCGCTCGGTTGCCCGAGTCGTTCCTTCCACTCCCCTATGGTGACCTGGCGGAGTTGGGATTTCCGGTCATCGATTTCTCGAGTCTCGGGACACCGACCCAACTCCCGCGCCTCCTTGCGCCGCTTATACAGAGCCGCAAGGGCTCTCGCCTCCAGGTCCCACGGTGAAGTTCCGGCCAGGAGACTCGCCGCCTCAAAGGAGATTACCCTAAACCATAAAAAAATACTGTCCTTGAGCAACGAATCGATGTTTTAAACAACTATTAGTATTCATTTTAAGAATTTCATTACCAACCCATCGTGATCAACATCATCATTCCAGCCGGCTTCGCTTGCTTGCTAATACGCCCGTTTAGGAGTGTCACGTACAATTGCACGCGTTTGGTGCAACACAAGATTACTCGCAATATTTTTTTATCTGATTAACTCAGTACTACTATTATCTCTTTACTTTACTAATAATATATTATAAGAGAATGAGCGTATAATAAAACTCTCGATGTATTTGATGGTTTAATATGCATTTACATATAATTACAGAAATACTTGTATTACTGATTTAATTATATATTACACTAGCTGACCCGCGCAACTTCGTCTGCGTCTCTCAATAGTAATAAATTTTCTCCGTTTTTGAAACATTCTTCATTGGTGCTCCGCTCCTATTGGTCTTAGCGTGATGATATATAGCCTATAGCCTTCCTCGATAAATGGGCTATCTAACACTGAAATAATTTTTCAAATCGGACCAGTAGTTCCTGAGATTAGCGCGTTCAAACAAACAAACAAACAAACAAACAAACAAACAAACTCTTCAGCTTTATAATATTAGTATAGATATAACTATATTAATATCTTGATGGAAAGCTGAAGCAATCAAATGATTGTAAGAATTCAATTTTACCAAAATCCTTTCTCAATATTTTCACCAACTGAAATCACGAGACGAAAGACGAAATAAAATATTCTCCAATTTATAATTTTATCATTTTTTTATATAATTTGCTCAATCTGTTATCCAATATTCTAAACGGAATAGGAACCCGATAAACTGCTTTATAGGTAAAATAATAATAATAATAATAACACATGTAGAATCGTCAGAAAATACACATGTAGAATCGTCAGAAAATCACATGTACAATCGTCAGAAAATTCATGCAGTTAGATGACACCACACCAACATAATGTACACACCACATGCTGTATTTACTTGGTTTAGGCCCGTAAATACTGTAGAACCAGCTAAAAAGCTGAGAAAATAAAAATTAAAACACATAATAATAATAATAATAATCTACCACATTCACACAACGCCATCTAGTCCCAAACTAAGCAGAGATTGTGCTATGGGTACAAGACAACTGATATAAATACATATATACTTTTTTTAGTAAATACATACATATTATACATAGAAACACCCAGACCAAATCAAACATTAAATTTTCATGCACACAAACGTTTCACTTGAGCGGGAATCGAACCCGCGATCCTTGGAATAGCAGTCCGTTACACAAACCACCACGCCATCCGGTCGTCAAATAGTTAAATTAGGCGATTGTGATAGATTTTGTGACAACCGTTGCACATTTTTAGTCGAGACATCCTGTAGGTACTTAGCGGTCTATCGAAGGAGTTGACTCACTGATAGTTATTATTACACATATACTACTCACTATCTACTCAACACTTTTTACCTCAATACTTCCTGACGAAATGTTAACACAGTTTCTAAATTAGACAGTTTACCTAATCAAATGTTTAACCCAGTTTTCTATACTTTTATTATATGTTACGTGACTTCCATTTTGCTGCTTTAAATAATTACTTCCGGGTGAAGTTGTTCATAAATTATGAACATTTGTTGTATTAATGTGACAAACATTCATCCACGCAAAACTCATTACTATACACTTATGTAACTGTTTATTATAATTAAATGTGGGTTCAAATCCCACAACTCATTACCGAATAGCCACTTCATCCGGTCTAGAGTTCTTATTTAATTAATTTTTGTTAACCAGTGAACTAAACTAAACTTTTATTATACATACATTATAAAAAACCGCTACATAAGTGTCATGTTTTACAAATGTTTACTAAATAGTTTGTAAAACAACAGACAAATCTATACAATTAATAACATACTGCATTAAAGATTTGGTATCTATGCCTTACTATACTATATATATTTATTACAGTTCAGAGGAAGGCATTCGTGTACACTTCGAGGTTTCTTTCGAGCCGATCTTCACCGCAGTGAGCACGTCAGAGGTGACAGCCGTTCTCGCGCGAGCATTACACACTCCTACCGATCATTTTAAGACGATTATTGTTTTGCCAGAGACGCTTCATATTGAGGTAAGTCCTGAAAACCTATGGCGATCTTATATCTGTATTTACCCTATAAACTTACTACCGCTATTAAACCTTTATAGGTCAATATCAGTCGCTATTTGTTATCAGTTCACTTCTGAATACGTAGAAAAATTCTAATTATACAGTAATAAATGCACTTTCAAATCCTCATGGCTATCGAGATGATTCAACGCTAAATACATAACAAGGTAAGATGCGTGTTGCGAAATGTTTCCTAACCTTCGATTGATTTTCGTTTATTATTATTTACTTAGTTCTACCAGTTTATTGAAAAATTGCATACCACTGCGTATACGTATCATACATAAATCGAATTAGTTTGTTCGATCTTTTTTGACTCAACACTCAAATATACACAGTTACACACAGAGAATGAATTCTTAATAATGTCTCTTACAACCGGTGAAGGACGGTAATCTGTCTGTCCCTTCAAATCCAAAGGGCCTATAAGTTATCGCTATTATATTATTTAACTCAAAGGTTAAGAGCATAATTAACATGTAGCTCTTGAGGTTGCCTTGACGTGGCTTGGCGTGACTTATCGAGTTTCTAATAACGTGGGGAGTCACAAGGGACTTAAACTGTAATCTAATGATCTTGTTTAGTTTGCAAAACTACGAGCATAGGCAAGTATTGGCAGTAAGCTTAAATATTGTAAATTGAGGTGAGTGACGTAATTGATTTATTAGTTACTTAGTAACGACTGTTCGCCTTTATTCTATATGCATCTCCTAAATTAATATTTTAAAGCAAAGAATACAATGCATTTCGGACGAAGATGGAAATTTCAAGAAATATTTCACCTACTCGTATCTAAATAAAAATGAGGTATAAAGTTTTTGTTTATTATAAAGTATCTTAGAAAGAAAACTTGAACAGTGATGAACTACGCGGTTGTATGACCCCTCAACAGCTGTTTAGAATTGTTAAGATATTAAGTTCTTATGCAGTTAATTTAGATCTGAAAGAAGTCGTCGATACTATTAAGTATTTTACAGAGAGAACAATGAACTTTCAACTCTTCCGTCGGTGTGAATGTTAAATCTGTTGGGTAACGAATCGAAGCATAATTACGTATTTATAACCTAGATTTTGTCATTGTAGAATGAACTCCTATTTTAACCGACTTCAAAAACACTAAAGAGGAGGTTATCAATTCGTCTATATTTTATTTATTTTTTTGAATGTTTGTTACGCGATATCTCCGTCAATTGTGGACCGATTTTCAAAATTATTTTGTAATCGAAAGGGTATGCTCCCGAGGTGGTCCCATTACCACAAAATCAGGATTTGATGATAGGATCCTAGAGAAATCGAGGGAAACCCTCAAATTTTACAGCCACAACGTGTTTTCGCTTATTTCTCCAGCTTAATAGGTATTTGCGTTTAGTAGTCATTATGTCATATTGCTGAGCTGATGATGGAAGGGTTCTTGACCTTTAGGAGTTAGAGGATAACTCTTTCAAAAATCGAATCATGTATTGACCTTGTTTTTTTCTTTCAAGATATTTGTTAGGTGTTTGTGTTGGGTTCAGAGAGAGATATGTGCACAAAAGAGTAATATATGAGACTAGCTGACCCGCGCAACTTCGTCTGCGTCTTTCAATAGTAATAAATTTTCTCCGTTTTTGAAACATTCTTCATTGGTGCTCCGCTCCTATTGGTCTTAGCGTGATGATAAATAGCCTATAGCCTTCCTCGATAAATGGGCTATCTAACACTGAAAGAATTTTTCAAATCGGACCAGTAGTTCCTGAGATTAGCGCGGTCAAACAAACAAACAAACAAACAAACAAACAAACTCTTCAGCTTTATAATATTAGTATAGATTACAAAACATTTAGAAAAAAAAATTGTTACGCAATTATTTTCATGTTTGTGCCTCAAAACTCTTTTATTTGTAAACCGATTATAAAATAAAAAAAATATTTGGAAGAGTATATTTCCTCTTTAGTTCCATTCAAATGTGAAGTAAAAATACAACTCCTAGTTTTGCAAAACTAAGTAAGGTGGAAAACAATATATTTTCGGCTTCAAATATAACATCTTAATTCCTTATCTAAAAAAGGAACGAATTTAATAAACTATATTTAATATAATCTAACATACCAACTACAGTTTAGTACCATACAATACGGTACGAAGTGTTTCAAAAATATCGTACTTATCTAATAATTACAAACATATCTCACACAAGAAATGGTAAAATAAATACTTAAAAAAATAATTGAACTGACTTCAAACGATACTGATCAAGAGAAATAAAATAAAAAAATACAAATAACTCATCATAACAGGTAATATTATAATAGCAATAGGCCCCTCTAGTCTGTTCGAATGCTCCATGTCAGCTTTATATTAGCACAATACAAAATTAAGAATTCAATATAATTCTAATGAAACGTTGCAGATTTGTTGAATGTTAATTAATGGAGACCAACCCGATCAATTATGTGCGCAAACTTATGAACTTCTTAATAAAGCATTCAAAATAATATCATTGGAGATGTGCGTAATCCACTTTAGCTCGTTCAGCATGTACAATGTAGCGCGGCAGCTGCTGCCGCATTTTACATTCTGCCAAGCCTATCAATCATCTATTTGGCTTGGCACCGACTTCTAACAGACTAGAAGGGACTATTGCTATTATACTCTTAATATTACCTGTTATATTGAGGGTACTTATTATAGTTATTTTACTTATATTTGTAATTTTCATTTTTATTTTTAGTGCTCTTTGTCAGTATTGTTTGAAATCGGTTCAACATTTTTTAAAGGATTTATCAAAATGCGGATAACATAACATATAAATGTTTTATAATCGTCTCCGTGTGGTGACGGATTAAGAATACGGAGTGTCACCACCCCTATTCTTCCCGCTGGAATCGTAAGAGTCGGTTAAGGGAGCAAACTATGCAGGACAACAGCACTGCAGCGAGAAGGAAAACTTGACACAAACCCTTTTTTTTTTTTTTTTTTAAAGTGTGGAAATCCCCTCGGACCGTCACCCCTCCGGGGTTTGCGGCGGGGTGGTGTGTCGGACTCGGACCGACTAAAACCACACGGTGTGCCACTCTGCGCCTGTAACAGGAGGGATCCGGGAACAGCTGTTGTTAAGACATCCGGACCCCTCCTAGCGCCAGCCCGCTCCTGGTGCGGGCTCCGTCTCAATGTTGATGTTCCTCTCTTTAGGCGACGTCCGGCACACGCGGACGCCGCCCCCTCGCGACTGGCCAACTAATGCGGGTGGAGGGGAAACCCACCCCGTCCACCCGCGGCCACACTCAGGGCGGCATGAAGCTGTGATAGGCGGGCCTCCGCCGCCCGGTTCGCCGGCGGCGGATCGGGTCCGAGTGGAGGTCGTCCTCCCGGGCCCTCTCCGCCGCCTCCTTCCGCGAGATTACTACCTCGCAGAAGGTTGCGACCGCGGTAAAACAACTGTCGCTACCGGCCATGGAGCGTACTACGGCCGGTAGCGAGAGATCCACTCCGATGACTGCAGTGAGGGCCCGGCGCTGCGCCGCCCATGCGGGGCAGACCGCCAGCGTGTGCTGGGCCGAGTCCTCACTGCAGTCGTAGTGGTGGCAGGCGGGACTCAGTTCCCTCCTAGCGACCGTGTGCAGGTACTTTCCGAAGCAACCGTGCCCGGAAAGCACCTGCGTCAGCCGGAAGGAAAGGGTCCCGTGCTGCCGCCCTGCCCACTCGGCGATGACCGGCTGGAGAGCCTCCACGGCGGCGAAGCCAGCGCGTGGAGTCTCCAGCCGGAACGACCAACGAGCCATCGTGGCTCGGCGAGCGGCTTCGCGCCACTCGCGCACATCCTCGGGCGGAGGGCGAAATCCGCTCTCCGCCCGGGAGTCAGCCACTCGCCGATAAACTTCGGCGAGCACTTCCGCCTCCAAATCCCACGGGGGAGTTCCGGCCAACGCGCATGCCACCTCCGTCGAAACGGTGCGGTAACCGCGTATGGCTCTGACCGCCATTACCCTCTGAGGGCGCCAGAGGCGTACCCTATTCTAGGCGGTCAGAGCCGCCGCCCACACCGGTGCACCGTACAGTACCATTGACCGGACAACCCCCGCGTACAGCCGTCTTGTCGCGACGCTGGGTCCACCCATATTGGGCAAAAGTCGCCCTAGGGCAGACGCAGCGCCGACCAGCTTTGGAGCAAGCTGTCGGAAGTGCTCGTCGAAGAGCCACCTCCCGTCGAGGATCAGGCCCAGATATTTCATCTGGGCCCGAACCGGTACGAGGACCGAGTTGACCACGATTGAGGCGCCAGGGGGTGGACCACGACGGGGCCCATGAAATAACAGGGCCTCCGTCTTATCTAGGGCCACCCGTAAGCCCAGCGCCTCAATGCGCTCGACCACCAGGGAGACTCCCCCTGTGGCCAGGCGCGCCGCCTCTTGGAAGTTTGCCCCCCGGGCTGTCACCAGGGTATCGTCTGCGTAACAGATTACACCCAGCCCGGGGGGGAAATCGGCGTGAAGGGCCCAGTCGTACCCTATGTTCCACAAGAGGGGTCCAAGAACAGACTCCTGTGGAACACCGCACGACATGGGCCGACACCTCAAATTACCTTCTCGTAAAACCCTATACCAACCCGTCTGCCCAGAGTGGTATAGTAGACGAAAACCTCTTCTCCAAAAGACAAAAAACAGGAGGGGCCAAACCAACGATTAGTTATCTTTTTTAAAACAAGATAATTAAAAAAAATTAAACTCGACTGCAAAAAAAGGCAATTTAAAATAATGCTCTAAAAAGACCGAAACAGCACAAGGTCAAACACGGCCCAATTTTATGCTATCAAAAACTTTTTAAACACGATTCAATTCAATGATATAATTATTTATATATTCGTAATCTCATTTTAATTTTCTTGATTTTAATACCCTACTCGATAGGTTTTTGTATTTTTTTTTATTAAACTAATACTATTGTGCGTCAAACATTTTCTTTTAAAAAGCTATATAAGGACA